GCGGGGAGTTTTCAGGGGGTGGGTGTGGGGGTGGGGACGATGTGTGTTGTGATCCATGCAAGACTTGTGCCCTCGGGCGTGGGTAGGGATGGGGCTCACAAGCACCACCGGCTCTGCTGAGACGTGTGTTCATGGTGATGTCCCGCGTGTGCTACACACCAGCCCAGACCCTGGGGGTGTTGTGTAGCTTGGAGTGTGTAGCTGGGGTGGTGTGTGTGCGCGCGCATGCTGTCCGGGGGGGTCCGAGCAAGTTGTGAGCTGTGCACCACGTCTGCACGGTGTGTGGCTTGTGCGGTTTGGTGAAGCTGGTGGGGGGGATGTGGGCACCCTGGGTTGTGCTTAGGCCTGTGTGCCATGGCAGCTGCTGCAAAGGGCTTTAAGTGTCCACACACACACACACACACACACTAGTAGACACAGCTAGGACACCCACCCAGAGCAGCGATATCATGGTCCTCATTTGGCAGAAGGGGAAACTGAGGCAGAGGAGGACCCAAACATTGCGGCAGGTCACTGGGGGTCGAGCCAGTGCCCTGCTTGGCTCTAACCACTGGGCCCCCTGCCCCTTCCTTTACACCCTCCCACCCACCCACCCCTCGGGGCTCAGGGTACCTCAATCCAGGGTGACTAGGAGGCTCCTCCGCAGAGGAGGCAGCAGCTGCTTCCCTGGGGGAGCCACGGGCCACCTGCCCTGTAGCTGCGGGGGCTGAGGCCGGGGGCAGGAGCTCCCCCCTCGGGTGTTCTGGAAACCGGGCTGGTCCCCGGGGCCTGAGCCAGGCTGCCCTCCACGGCCCCACTCCTGGGGGCTTGGGCTTGGGCCTGGGGTGGGGGTGAGCATGTATCTGTCTGTGTGTGCACAAGTGCTTGTGTGTGCATGTGTGCCTCTGTGTGTGTCTGTGTGCACATCTGTCTCTGTATGTGTATGCACGTGTGTCGGTGTGCGCATGAGTATATGAGTGCTTGTGTCTGCCTGTGTGTTGTGTGTGCATCCGTGTGTCTCTGTGTGCACGTGTGTCTGTGTGCATGTGTGTATGAGTGCTTATTTCTGTGTGTGTTCTGTTTGTGGTGTTGTGTGTTGTGTGTGTGTGTGCCCATGTGTCTGTGTGCATGTCTGTCTCTGTGTGTATGCCCATGCATGTCTGTGTGCAAGTGTGTGTATGAGTGCTTGTGTGTGCATGCCTGAGTGCTGCCGTGTCTGCCCGTGTGTGTCTATGTGTGCACGTCTGTCTGCGTTGCGTGCACGTGTGTATGAGTGCGTGTGTCCGCGTGTGTGTGGTGTCTGTGTGCACGGGTGCTTTTGTCCGGGTGTGCGTGCATGTCTGTGTGAGTGCTTATGTCCGTGTGTCTGTGCACACGTGTCTGCCCGTGTGTGTCTAAGTGTGCGCGCAGGTGTGTATGAGTGCGTGTGCGCGGGTGTGCACGCGTGTCCGAGCGCCCGCCGCAGGG